CTGCGTCGATCCGGAGATTTGCTGTTTCACGGATTTTCTTCTTTGCAACAACATCGAAGCAAAAGCGCTTGTGAAGATGTGGGACAGCGAAGCGGCTGCCACTGAAACCAACGACGAAGGACAGATTGCACGTCGTCTCCATGATGTGATGATTCGTACGGCTTCTCGGTTTCCGGGGGGCGCTCGAGGCCTTGCCAACGTTGTCATCACTCGAGGAGCCCACCCCTGTGTAATATTTGCAAATGGAAAGACGACGGAAGTGCCACTGGCGAAACAGGTTCCGAGTGAACTCGTTGTCGACACGACGGGGGCGGGTGACTCTTTTGCAGGATCGTTTGCTTATTTCCTTCTTCAAGCACCCAACTCACCTGAAGCAGCAGTAGCCAAGGCGACGTTCGTTGCGGCGCAATCCGTCACCAAGAAAGCCGCTGCGGAAAGCTACGCGGGAAGGCACGAGCTTCCTGATCATTTGTTCCAGCGCTCATGAAGGGGAATTATTGGAACTTACTAGCTATATTTTTAGTTATATCTGCCTAAATGACGAATTGCTGGGTTCACAGAGAACACGCATTTCAACCGTGTCGTCTTCTAGCAGCATTCCTTTGGAAGGTATCTGCTCTTGTTGCTGAAATTTAGCTTCCAGGCAAATCTGTCACAAAATTTCTTAACTATTATTCGGGTAAACCATGAAACAGCTCGAAACGTGCAACAGAGAGCAATAAATCGGTTTCTAGTCTACCGGGATGCACCTTGTCCGTACACCCTGACCATGATCGCCTGCGTACAAGAAGTTCATCTTCCGTCACTTTCGCGTGATGCAACTGCGGGGCACGGAATATTTTTGCAATGGTGATGCGCGTATCCGTCCCTTCTCCAATCAGTGTCTTTGCAGACAATGCGGATGCTGCACAGGCGATAGCAATATTGTACCCTGATTCGACCCAGGGTAGGGCTCCTCAAAGCGACCGCAAGATTTATTTGTTTCCACAGCAGTCCACCATGTTAATTTTGCAGATGCAGCAAAGGAAACACCATACGTTGCAATTCGTTTAGGATCTCTGAGAAATGTTTGGCGCAGTTCCCCGTTCAGTGCTAAGCAGTCGGGAACCGACAGCCTTTGGGAACGAGAAATCTGCGCTCCTCCCCTAGCGCCAACGCCAAAACAAACTGTTTTAAGTCCTGCTTCTGCTCACCC